AGTTTTCGCTTCGGGTTGACTGGGTCCCGAGTCGACCCGCCTGGCCGGTCCGGGTCACAAAACAATGGTAGAATTAGATAACGCAATATAATTGGAAAAATAATTACTTGCAATGGTAACTAGCTTATAAAGTTTTCAATTTTAGTGATCATGCGTTTTCTGAATTTAACAAGTAGGGATAAAATACATACTTAAAAAAATATAAATAAAAAGTGAATGCAAAATTGCAAAGTATGCTTAACAATTTTGGGAGATTGACAAATTGGTCCAATAAATTGTGTAGATGTAAGGAATTTCTATTATCTAATTAAATAGTGAATATTATGTGAATTAATAGATTATTTTTACAAATATCTAGTAAATAATTCAAAATAATAATAAATATAATAGTCTTTTTTTACCTATTAGGAAATATTATAAATAAATTTTTTACTTTGTCTTGATAATAAGCATATAATAGTTTGTAATTTGAAGCGAAAATAGTTATCCTATGATCAAGAGGACATATATCTCTTCACCGACGTTTCTAAGTCCAAAAATAAAGATTAAAAAAAAAATGAGATTCTGACACTGACAAGTATTGAATACAATAAAATATATAGTGTCAGAAAACAAACCATATGTCCTTTAAAATAAATAATAACTTTGCCAAAAAAATCAGTACATAGCATATGCTTAGAAGAATAACAAATATCTTATCATGGACTGTCAAAAAACTATTAATTTGTATATTTAACTGCTAAATAAAATAAATAAACACTTATCAATATTTTTTATTATTATTTTTTTGGTGGTTACCCATTTGAATATTGGCTGTCCATTGGATCAAACTCATGTGACCCGCGATGCACGCTGACCACTCTCTTATTATTATTATTATTATTATTATTATTATTATTATTATTATTATTATTATTATTATTATTATTATTATTTTTTTTATTATTATTATTATTATATTATTATTATTATTATTATTATTATTATTATTATTATTATTATTATTATATACCACAGATTTTACTTATTTATTTACTTAATTTTCTGCTATTAGTAACACACAAACACACCAAATAGCAAAGAATAATTTCTTTTTTAATTTTCTCTTATTTAATAACAAGAAATTTCATTGCCAAGCCTTGATCAATCTAAAATGAAAAATAAAACATACAGATTGATGAGAAGCATTAATAATCCATATATACTTGATTAAAATAACAGAAAACATGCATGCATTTTGGTTAAGATTTGATCACAATCTAGATATATAATGCAAGATTTGAAAACAAAATTTGTCCTAATTAAATGTCAAATGTTATGAGTTACATTGCATAAAAAGTTGAAAAGTCGAGGTTAATTGCTTGCTGCCAATTTAGTCCAAAAAGTAAAAGATTAGCCGAAAACATTTACTAAAACTGCTAAAAATGATGGATTCCGAATATATCCCTTGACTATTTCGCAGTTTATTGCACAAGGAACCATTTCGTCGAGGTTTATAATCTTTAGATCATTGTATAACCATCGAAGATAGTTGATCTAATGATTACAATCTCTGACGAAATGATTCCGTAACGGGATCGTAACATCTCCCTATTGCAAAACTATGAATATAGTAAACCCCTCAAATTTAAGAAACTCCTATTTAAAGCAAGGGCTTTCCACATTGCATACTTTCATGCCTTACACTCTATGTTTCAGTTATTATTTCCATAAAAATTAAGTGTACTATAAAAACCTAGCTTTCTATTACTCTATTTTTAGTTCAAATTTGCACTATAAAAATCATATATATAGTTGTCGAAATTATATAAATCATGTCTAGCCGAAGATCAAGATCACAAAACTCGGGTTCTTCAAGAATCTCCGAAGATCAAATCAACGAGCTCGTTTTCAAGTTGCACCAACTTCTTCCCTCGGACAAGGTACGTAATTAACATTTAGTCGATTTGTATGTCAAACTACGTATACGAATTTTGTCGATTCTACTATTTTAATTAGAATCTAATAAATTAGATCGATTTCGATTTAATTTGATTCGTTTATATTTAAATTTGTGCAGAGATCATTAACAAGTAATAATGTGTTGCAAGAGACTTGCAACTACATAAGAAGTTTGCAAAGAGAAGTTGATGACCTAAGCGAAAAGCTGTCTGAATTATTGTTGGCAAACACAGATACATCTCAAGCTGCTATTATTAGAAGTCTACTCACACAGTAGAATATATATTATTAAGAGCTTCCTTTTTTTTTCTGTATGAAAAATAAATTAAATTGCTTTTCTTTTTTTCCTATAAATTATGGTGTCCCCTTTTTGACTTAATTGCATTTCAGTTTTCTAATTGTGCTAGCATTTTTTTTTTTTTTTTTT